TATATAAGTTAATGCCTTCAGGAAGAAATTCTATGTTCTAAAAAGCAGCTGGGGATCACAAAAGGCTGTAGACCTCCCTCTTTGCAGGTGGAGGAGGTCCAAAGGCTGAGACTCACCAGTATGACAGAAGAAAGCACCATGACTGTAATAGCTCCAAGAACAGTGAATGATGTTTGGAAAGGAATGTCAGAGAAGGATACACGTGATCTGCAGGATCCTTGTTTTCTTGATGTGAGGAAAGCAAAGCCAGTGATAATTTCACCAGCTCCAGCCATGGAGTTGGTGAAATTATCAGGGAAAAAGGGATGGTAAAAAGTAGATCTACCTCTTCTGCCCTGGTCATCATGGCTTTACTACAGAATCACTTTCTCCATGCAGCAACACACATCACCAGAAAATACCAAAGCATAAGAGAAGAAAACAGAGTATGTCTAATAGTACTCTCTAGAGCAAACTAGAATGCTTGAAATTTTTGAGTTTATATTTTATACATTGAAAGGAAATGTAATAGCAAAACATCTAAATGTCTATAATACTGTAAATGAAAATGCAGAACTTATACATGACCAGCATTTAACCTTAAAACCAACACTGGAAGATTAGGAAAGTAATTAAGACTTGTACTAAAAGGAGGAATACATGCTAATAATTGCAATGGAAATATGCATGGGGGTAAACCTTTAATAATTTAATGGCTGCAATACTGTTCCTACATAAGGCTGATGTTGTCAGCCATGGTGATGCAAAACATTTCTGCTTCCTTGTCCTCCTGAAGGTCCCAAGACTCCCATGGAATTCCTTTCTTTACTGAAAAGCCATTGGAGGCTGTGGGACAGGAGAGGGAGGTCTTTAATCACTGAAAATTGCTGCTGCTAGGATAATTTTACTGGTGGAATCCCTTTCATCCTAAGTACTGGGAGCCACAGGGAAAGGGGAAATCTTTAATCGCTGAAAATTGCCACCACCATTAAAGTCACCCTCACAACTACAATTTTCAGTAATTGAAACACTTCCCCCTCTAATCCCTCAACCTCCCATGCCTTCCCCGCAATGAGAGGGATTCTACAGGAGCATCTAGACCAGCAATGGCAAACCTATGGCACACGTGCCACAGCTGACATGCAGAGCCCTCCCTGCAGGCACATGAGCCATACGTCGCCGGATCACTCCCCCTCCCAGCCAAACCAGAGGAGATCTCAGTCTGTCTACTGGGGGAGGAGAATCTGGAAGCGATTCAGGTGTTTGTATTTCTAATTGCTCAGCATTCTCCTCAGCTACAGTTAACCAGTCAGGTTCCGGATCTTCGGCTGCACTCATGACACGCTGCCACTTCTGGTTCCGCTGCCACAGCCTGCAGCCCACTGGTTTATTTTTTCAGTTTGGGCATGCAAGCCCAAAAAGGTTTGCCATCACTGCTAGACCTTTGGGGTGGTGGGAGGGGGAGGGGAATTAGAAATGTTTTATTTTTAAAAAATCACCATGACTGATAGTATTATCAACTTCACATAGTTTAATTTATGGAACAGGATTTTTGTCACTGTTTGGTATTTCAGGACATAGCTGTCTAACAATGTATCTATGGAAGGTGAAATATATGAAAAGAGAACAAATTATATAGAATCAATAACAACAGTTCCCAACCCTGGGTTCCCAGATGCTCCTGGACTAAAACTCCTAGAAACTTTCACTGCTAGCTGTGCTGTCGAGGATTTCTGGAGTTTTAATCCAAGAATATTTGGGGACCCAACACTGGGGAGCACTGATTTATAATATAGAAGAAAAACTACATTGATATTATTTTGTGACTCCTTGAGGACTATGAACTTATATTTTAAATTAATACTTAAACTCACTAGATTAGGTTAACTTCTAATTCATTTGACTTTAGGTTATAGACCAATACCAAACTGAATAGTGCGAGTTAGTAGTCAAATTTCATCCACATGGAGAAGAACTAATACCTAAGATGTAAGTTATATGGACGTTAACAGAATCAGTCTATATTTAAACTTCCATCCTTTCATGATTTTTACACATACTTAATTTTATGTTCTGGGTTTGTAAATGTTTTAAAAATTCAATCTGTCCAGGTGTTGATTATGAAATATCTATAACCATAATTCAGGAACCACTGGTGACTGCCAAGAAAAATCTGTCATCATCTATTATCTGCTACAAGAAAAAGAATGAGAGAAACACAGGTGCCTTGTAGCATTCAGAATCATTCCACAAGCAGATGAAACCCTTGTAGGATAAAATGATGAAAACACAAACCTGTCAACACAGTTCACAAAATGAAAAGTAGGAAACTCTGCACCTAGTGGAACATGTGTGGCTTAAAGTTAAATTACATTAGTAGGAAAGATTTTATTCTGAGAGGGTTTGTTCTGGCATGCTATGAGTGGGTGAACTTGGGCACTCAGAAAGGGTCCACCTCCATGTCCCAATGGCCTTTCATGGGTCCCTGCCAAGAATATCTGGTGTCATGGTATGGATCCCTTCTCCAGGTCATCACCCCAAAGTAAACTCTCCACCAGAGCCAAGAGAACAGCGAAAACCAGAAGGGTGTGAAAGCAAGGAAAGCAGTAAAAAGTCCACCAAGGGAAGTTCCCACCAAGAGGAGAATAAAAGGGAATATGAGAAAGAGCTTGGGGCAATTAGCAGGGAGGAGAAGAACAAAATAGAGAATTTGGATAGACATCCTGCAATAGAGTGGGGAAGACCTGATCCCTGCAGTATACACTGGCTTTGCAGCATCCAGAAATAATCCTCCCTTGGGTTCCTTCCTCTTCTATTACCAATTCAGGGGGCTCACCACAGAGGATCCTAAAGTGCTTGAAAACACTTAAGATTAAATAGAACATTGCTCCTGAAACCAAGAAGTGTCCAGCCAACTGGAAGGACTTGACCCCAACCCTGCAATGTGCTGCAGGGTCAGAATCATATGTGTGCATCAGCTGGCAAAGGAGATTACAGAAGGGAGTACTGAAGGTTTGTAAACCTTGACTGCAGTTTTGGATTACAGGGGCGAGAAGGGTGGTAAATGTAACTCTTTCCACCCCAAAGGAGAGGACTCCTGCTACTAACATGAATTCCCCTATGAATGTTTCCATGAAGAGGACTGGAGAAGCAGTGTAAACAGTTGATAATAAATGTTTGTTTGTTGTTTGAATATTTACTCCGAGCATTTGTCAAAATGATCAATGACACTGGGATATCATTTGTGGTCTCCATCTTTCCAGAAGAGGTGTACATCTTCATACATGCACTATATGTGGAAAACAAAACTATGGTTCACTGTTTTAAAAAAGGCAACAATATAACATATAGGTTCTCTTACTTTGGGTTGTACAACTATTTTCAGTAGAATTAATAACTGACATCAATTGAATTAATTCAGTGGAATTAATAACTGACATCTCAGTACAGCAATCACACATGTGTATGCTGTACGCATGTGCAGTACAGACATGTACCATGTCGTCACCACTAGATTTTCTTGATTTCCAACAAGAGAAGACACTAACTTCAGTTGTCCATGCATTCCAGATGAAGGAATCTAGTGAAGATCTATATATGCAATTTTGCATATGTGAAATGAGTTACATTCGTAATGTAGAACTGACAGTCAGTTTCAATTACCACTCTACAAATTCCAGCTTTGTAAGATCTACTTTATTTCCTTCTACAACGCCAAGAACAACTAACCAGAACCTATTTGCAAAATACTGTAGTGTTAACTAGATGCAGAGCAAAGAATTTACTCTGGGAGCTACAAATTCAAGAATTCTCCTAGAGTAGTGGATGGGACATTCTGAAACTTCTAGTTCAAAAAAGAACTTTTTTCCAACTTCGAATCCAAAAAGAAATCTTTTCCAACTATGGGTAGCAGATGTAAGGAACAAGGTACCTCTGAGCACATGCTCAGCTCAGGAATTTGTGGGCAATGCTACTTAGCTAACTAGCCCAGTCTAACACAAATCTACTCTTTTTTTAATTTTGTTTTGCAATTTTTCCCCAAGCAATTTAATTTAGGGATGAGAGCCAATATGGTGTGTAGGGGATGAAGTGAAGGACTAGGATGCAGGATGAGCTGGGCTCAAATTACCGCTGGACCATGGAAACTGATTGGGGGGCATTAGCAGTGACAAAACCACTCCTCAAATGTATCACTAACCCTGTTAGGTTCATAGTATGCTGGATGTGGCTTGACAGCATAACACGTACAATTTAGGAGGGCAAAACTTAGTTGTTGTGACTGTTAAACAATCAGCACCCATACACTTGCTGGGCTACTATACCTGTAAATCACCCAGTGATCTACCTTTAGATTCTGACGTTATCTTCCACCCACCCATTTTATGTTGAAGGTTACACACAGCTTCCATTTACTGAAGCTCCTTCCCACAGCATCTTTTGTTAATGAGGCCAAGATTACACATTGCTATGCACAGATGGTTTTTCCAAGAAATATATCTGAATTAAGGCCCAGATAGTAAACATTATTGGCTAATTAATTTAAATAGAAATTACAGTGTCTGCATTTATAGAACCAAATCAGCTATATAAGTAAAATAAATCATAAGAATTTGCCCACATTTTGTAAGTTAATATTCTTGTTACTTCCGCGTCACAAATAAACAATTCTTTCCCGTGCTTCAGGTCAAGAATCCCCTTCCTTCACTGCAGTCTTCAAAGCAAAATATATCTTCAGCATAAAAGTAAAGATTAAGAAGCTCAATCCTAATGCCCATTGTAGCTGTTGTGGTATAAACAGCAGTCATAATGCTCCATATAAGACCGGTAGAATTTTCAGTGATTTCAAGAAATAAGAAATATACATTAAACCTTATCCCTAATTCAAACTTTAGCCACACTGCTATCAATTGATATTTTGGAATTCTCATAGCACCAGAAAATACTCCACAATTCACTCTACTCTATTTTAAATCTGCTGCATGAAGGTTAAAATGCCTCAAATAATTTTTAAAAGGTTTCACCTGGTGGCAGAAAAACAGCAACAAGATAAACAAAGTTCACCAGGGTGCCAGGTCAGTTTCTCTAGGGAGAGCATTCCATGAATAGGCTTCCGCTACTGAAAAGGCCTTTTCTTTTATAGCCACACTTCATCTGCCAGTGAAACCTGGAGGAGGACTTCAGACAAAGATCTTGGGTAAGTACATATTTATGGGAGAAGAACATGCAACCTACCTGTCTCCAAAACTTTTCGTGCTTTAAAAGGTAAAATCAGTGGTTTGTACAGGGCCAAGATACACTTGTGGGAGGGATATATATTTTTGCCAGTGCACGGGAATTACTACATCCGTTCAGTTTCAAAACACTTATATAAGAATTGTCCCATATATATTTTTCCATTTCAGGGTTCTTTATGTCTCTGACAGGCAGAAGTTCAGCAGGTGATGTTTTCTGTTTATTTACTGAAGACATGCAATGACACGCAGTTATATGGTGAATTTCTCTCAGTCAAAAGAACAGGAGCTCTGCTTGGAGTGAGGGTGGGGGAAGCTGCATTAAATCTACTTATACTGTACAGTCACCCAACATATTGACAATTGTGTGTGACCATTAAGCGATGGCATAATAGGCATTTAAATGACTAGAAGTGTATGCATATGTACCTACGTAGTTCAGAAACAAAAGTTGTATTACTCAGACTGGGTTAATCAAGCAATAACTTCTTTTAAAAATAAGCATTGGTATGTCTCTGCACCATGTGTTAGAAATTAAGTGGCTATTTCAGATTGCTAAAACAGTTTCCTGCATGTTATTTTCCACTGCTACAAAGGTCTGAATGGCAAGGGATTCTTTGCTGATCTTGATGTTTCTTTCCTCTTTGGTAGAAGAGCTGAACAGACTGCCCTCCAGTACTTTAGAACATGTCAATTATTCACTGGGCTATACTGTAACTTCATTATTCTCACATACAGCTGTCAATACGTTTTCACAATACAGTAACTTCTTCCTCATCTCCCATTCCACATATGACCCTCTTCTCATTAATCATCTTGCATAAATCCCAGAACTTCCAAAAATCCTTTAATCTGCAACATAACCATGCTTAGTTTAAGAGCAATAACAACCTAAACATTTTGATGAGGTTTTGACTGGTGATGAACAGTATGGAAAAAAGCAAGCCCTGGCAACTGATGTGTAGTAAAATGTGACTTCCTGTCAGGCTGATTTTAATTGTGCTTCCCTGGTTGTATGATAAAATGACCAGATCAGGCAACTCTTAAGACACAGTTCACTATACTGTAAGGTAGTTAATTAAAGCTGCAGTCAAAGGACATAAACACCTGGGGGCTCATTTAATTCTATGGGCTTTCTCAACAAACATGCTTACTACAGTTTCACACAAAACAGATGATTGACTCAAGTGACTGCATTCAGTGAAATTATCAAGGTAACAAGGGACAGAACCTGAATTCTGTTTTTAGTTTGTGGATGAGATGTTAATCATGTAGACACATTAACCTGATGCACCTTCCTCGTTTTACTGCTGTGAGAACTTACCACAGGCTAGCAGCTTATTACTGAGCTCCAATGTGTCCCACGATAGGCTTACGTTGTCCAGAGATCAGAGACTAGACTAAATTTAAGAATAAAACTTAGCTTACTCCCAGGGTGGTTTATATTGGGATCAGATGACTGAACTACCACGGGGTGTTAATCATATGGACACCCTAACCTGGTGCACCTTGGCTGTTTTAATGCCGTGAGAACTCACTACGGATTAGTAGTGACTCCTCATGAAACTCCAGAGTACTCCACGACCGGCTTAAGTTACTCAGGGATCGGAAAGAAGCCACCTCTGAGGCAATTTCGTCGCCTATCTGTCTGGGTTCATAAAGGGTTGCCCTCGAGGTCGGGAAGGGAACAGCTTTCTTTTTGGGCTGAGGCGACGAGGGCGCCCTTCGGGCCAGGGGAGGCCCTACTAGAACTTTCTGAGGCGGTCGTCGTCTTCCCAGCAGCGGCGGGTTGCCTGTCAGCCAGCCTGGCCCACGGCCCTCCTTCCTTCAATTTCGTCGCCTATCTGTCTGGGTTCATAAAGGGTTGCCCTCGAGGTCGGGAAGGGAACAGCTTTCTTTTTGGGCTGAGGCGACGAGGGCGCCCTTCGGGCCAGGGGAGGCCCTACTAGAACTTTCTGAGGCGGTCGTCGTCTTCCCAGCAGCGGCGGGTTGCCTGTCAGCCAGCCTGGCCCACGGCCCTCCTTCCTTCCCTCCTTCTCTCTNTCGAGTGCAAGGCAAAGGGAACGCTAGCCAGGCTCACCACCTCTGGCACCCCAGGCATACAACACATATACGCATACACACACACACATATACACGGAAACGCAAGCGGGGCACGGCCACCAACTTGGCGTCCACACCGTTGCCATGACCCACTTCAACAAGGGCCCCTCTTACGGGCTTTCGGCCGAGGTCAAGAACAAGGTAGGGCTCGGTCGGGAAAAGACGAGTATGGTTACGGAGCCCGCCCGCTCCATTA